TGGAGCCCAGGGAGGTGGAAAACGGACCTGTTTCTGGCCTCCGGAGAGCCTTCGGAGCCCGGGGAGGTGAAAAACGGAGCCTCCACAGCCCATTTTTACTCCCAGGATGGTGCAGGAGGCTGACTAGGCCACACCCACCATGGCCACGCCCACCCAGCGACCGGGCAGAGAACCGGTGGTTAAATTATTTGAAGCCCACCACTGGTCTACCCCCCATGGAAAGGCACTTCAAAACGACCTTTTTTTTCGGAGAGTGTGGCCTTCAGACCTTCTTCCCTTGTCTTGAGGTCTAGAAGCATGCTTTGACCATTTCAAACAAAAACCCAGTTGCCGGGGTAACCACCACATCCTGGCACCAAAGACTGATAAAGTGGTGATGGGAAATGACTCCGGGGTCTCCAACCTTGGCAACTTTGCGCCTTGTGGACTTCCAGAATTCCTCAGGGTCGGATCGATAGTTGGATTTAGGTGGGCTAGGAGGGTTTTGGGAGGAGGGACGGTTGTCTACGAGGGAGTCAATTAAGGCTTTGCCCCACCCCACTTCCTCCCCAGGCCCATTTCGAGCATTTGCTGACATTTCTGCTGAGCTTTGCACGAACACCTACGCCTTTTTGTTCCCGAGCTGAGATGGATGATCTCATCCATCTGCATGGCTCTCTCGACTGAGGAAACAAAGCCAGGCTTTGTTTATGGACCGATGCAGGAAAACCTGCGGTCTTGACAAGACTTTGCGGCCTCCCATAAGGATTTCTCTGCTCTTTTAAAATAAGGCTACAATGTTCCAAACACCCTTTAGGTGTCAGCAAGGAGATCCAGAAAAATTCCAGGGTTTCGCTGCTGCGCCATCTGGTGGCAGTTAAGTTACTTGCAGATTTTTAATATAAATATAATAAATATTTTAATATATAATATAATAAATATAATATAATATAATATAAGTGTGTGTGTATGTATATATGTATATATATATTTACAATTTTTATAATGGCAATTTAGGCATCTCACAGGGTGTTTTGAAATTGTGGGGCCCCTATTAACCACCATATAAAATGATGTCATAAAAACGATCATTATAGAAAATAACCATTATAGAAGTATAAACCATCATTAAAAACAAACAGGCAAGTTTAACAACCACATATCCCCTATAATAGGAGACCCCCTATGTAAGTTGTCTCTTATATTAGGAGAGGCTCATTTCTAGTGTTCTCCGGGGCCGTTGACACTTTTTCGAGGAAAATCTCACTCTTTTTTTTTTTTCTTCTATTGAGCCCAACCGGCACGTACGCTTATTTTTTTTTCTATTCCTCTTAGTGAAAATATTTATTTTAATCACATTTTTGTACACTGCTCGTTTCACCTAAGAAACACCGGGCATTTACGGTACAAAGATCAAAAGTGGCATACAAGCATGCGGTTAAATAAAAACAAAAGACAAAAGAGAGTTAAGAACAAAATGAAAATATTAAAATTACAGATTTTTTTTTTAAAAAAAGGCATAGGGGGCTGAAATAAAGAGAACTAGACACCTACACGAATGCACACGTACACATAAATAGTAATTCTAGAGAGAGATGCAAATTTATTTTGTTAGCTTGGCCTAAATTTACAAAGTCTTCAATTCCTGTTAGTTCTCAACTACAACCAATGTTACAACAGACCTCCCTAGAGTAACTTATAATCTGGTTGAACCACTCATGAGGTTTGCTTACCGTTGAGCCATGTTGGCTTAATGACCACTGCAAACAAAAAGGAATAAAATCAGGCAGGGTCCCTCGATGACCTGCTTAACGACTAGCAGAACTTACAACCAGAATTCCGGGGGTCCATTCCAGTTGTAAGTTGAGGACTACCTATAGAAATGCAGGCTTTTGAAATCTGGATGCACCCAGGATAATCTCTTGGGAAGTTGACCAGGTGTAGCCTTAGAATCCAATGGTTTGATGGGATACATGGATGGGAAGGGAGAGATAGATGATGGATGGATGGAAGAATGGATGGATGGATGAAGAGGGAGGGATACATACCGTGTTTCCCCGAAAATAAGACCCTGTCTTATATATAAGACCCTGTCTTATATATATTTTTTGCCACCAAAAAAGGCACCAGGTCTTATTTTGTGGGGATGTCATCCACTGACTAACCTCACTTGCGTGCGTCGTCCCCGGGCCTCCTTTTCGCTGTCAGAGGCCTTCAAGATCTTCTTCTGCGGCCAGCAAGGCTTTACTAAAGGCCTCTGCAGCCAATAACTGAGCTCAGGATCAATCCAGAGCTTTGTTATCAAGCGCTCCCCATGAGGTGGATAGCCAGCCTTGCCGACTGCAGAAGAAATGGGCCGGTGAGGCAGGCGTCGGGGTGTGCGAGGCCTGGCTACAACTGTCCAAAGGTAAGTAGTAGGGCAGCTCAAACCCCCCCCCCCCCCATCCTCACCCTAGCTTAATTTTTACCTGTGGAGTGGGCGGGATTTTAATTAGGGCTTATTTTGGGGGGTAGGGCTTATATTGGGCACACGTGTAAAACAAAAATCAAGGTAGGACTTACTTTCAGGGTAGGTCGTATTTTTGGGGGAAACAGGGTAGATGATGGATGGATAGATGAATGGTATAGATGATGGGTGGATGGATGGATTTGCCCCTCATTCCTGCCCCATAGCAAGGGGCTCGTGGGCTTATCCCAGGTCTCCCCGCCAACCAGCTTCTGTGCTTAGCCCAGCCTCGCTTTCTGCCAAAGTCAAAACCTCCAACTCTCGTTCTCGTGAAGAGCAGCTGCCGGGCCTTCGCCGTGAGATCGGAATTAGGAGTTGCTAAACTTAGCTCTGGCAGGGCAAAAGCTGGATCTCTGGGGAGCTGTGGGGAGAGCGGGGAGGCCGGCCCACTTCCTGGTGCTGCCGTCGGGGCAGCCAAGGGTTAAGCGCGGGAGGGAAGAGGGGGCAAGGCAAGACCGGCTGATGCTCAGCCGGTTTCCGACAATCGGAAGTCCACGAGAGAAGCTGAATTCACTTGAACGGCGACGTGATTCACTTAGCGGCGCCTTAGGAAAGGCCCTTAACCACTGCGCCCCACTGGCCTGGGGCCCGCCGTGCCCACGGTTGACGTCTTCCTTAACGAAGAGTGGAGGATCCCATGGGGAGCTTGATTCAGGAGAGGTGCGGACGAGATTCCGTTTCTTTAGTCGGATCTTCTGAACGTCGCTCCTATTTACCGCAAGGAGAAGCTGGCCAGCACATTCCTGGCACAGCATCCGTACTGTGGCAGGTTTGTTCAATAGCAGTCAGTCTCTTCTGGGTTTTTGACAATCCCCCCCACCCACACACACACCTCACACTCCCCACCCCTGGATCGATGGCACACTAATGGATCCACCACGCCGGGGTATCCGTCACTCTGGATACTTTCAAGTTAAACCAAAGGTTGAAGGATGCTTGGACAGGGTTCTTAAGAAAGAAAGAGGGAGGCAGGGGAAAAAAATAAAAGGAAGGAAAGAAAGAAAAAAGGAAAGGAGGGAGGGAGGGAAAGAAAGAGGAAGAAAAGAGAGAGGGAGGAAGGAAGGAAGGAAAGAGAAAAAAGGGAGGGAGGGAAAGAAGAAAGGGAGGAAGGAGGGAAAGAAAAAAGGAAAGGGGGGGAAAGAAAGAAAGAAAAGAGGGAGGAAGGAAGGAAAGAAAAAGGAAAGGGAGGGAAAGAGAAAAGAGGGAGGGAGGAAGGAAGGAAAGAAAGAGAAAAGGAAAGGGAGGGAGGGAAAGAAAGAGAAAGAAAAGAGGAAGGAAGGAAAGAAAAAAAGGGAGGGAAAGAAAGAAGAAAGGGAGGAAGGAGGGAAAGAAAAAAGGAAGAGGGAGGGAAAGAAAGAAAGAAAGAAAAGGAAAAAGGGAGAGAGGAAGGAAGGAAGGAAAGAAAGAAAAAAGGGAGAGAGGGAAAGAAATGAAGGAAGGAAGGAAAGAAAGAAAAAGGGGAGGGAGGGAGGAAAGAAGGAAGGAAAGGACGGAGGGAAAGAAAGAAAAAAAGAGGAAGGAAGGAAAGGAGGGAAAGAAAAAGGGAAGGAAGGAGGGAGGGAGGGAAAGAAGGAAAGAGCAAAGAAAGAAAGTAGGAAGGTAAGAAAGGAAGAGGAAGGAGGGAGGGAGAGAAAGAAAAAGAAAGAAAACGTGAACTCTTTAGTTATTCTTTCATTCTGTTTTTCAAAAGAGAAAAAAAATGGTTGGTGTGATCCACGATTTTATTAAAATCAGAGCAGGAAGTAAGCTCCGGTTCTTGTTTAGATATTTTATTTGGGGGGTCGATTGTGTGATAGTGGTGCATTTGGGGTTTTGTCTTGATGGATTGCAGCTTGGTGCAAAAATGTGGCGACCTTCCCTTGTGTTCCCGTTGGCCTTTTGTTGTGTGACACAGAGATTGTCGCGTTCCATTATTTTTTTAACAGAATATTTAAGGAAAGAAAAAAAAATAGGCTGAAAAGTAGCTTGCACACAACACAATCAGATGACCCCAGTCCTCGCACTTACGACCCCCACGGTCCCATGATAACAATGTGGGTGCTTGGCAGCTGACTCACATTTATGACAGTTTCTAGCATCCAATTTTGTGACCTTCGGTCAGACAAAGTTTCTGTCGCAAACCGTGGCAAGAAAGTTCGTAAAACAGAGCAAAACTCACTTAACAACTGTCTCACTTAACAATTAAATGTTGGGCTCACCTGTGGTCATAAGTGGAGGACTACCTCTATTGGGTTGGCTGGGAGTTGATTTTTCTCTTTACATTCAATAAGTGCTTAACGAACAGCGTACTGTCTGGGTCCATTCCTTTACATAATAATATTTTTAAAATTCCTAATTTCTACCCCCTGATAAAACAACTCAAAAAATATTCGGTGTCTTTTTTCTTTTCTTTTATCTTCAGTGTTAATCTGTCCATTTTTTGCACAGTCCAGTTTTTTTTTTAAATTACATCTTCTGTCGGTATTTCCTCGCTCTTCTAGTGTTGTGCAAAACGTGATCTTGAAAAGCTCTTTCTTGCTTTTAGGTCTCATGGTACCAAGTGACGTGTCCTTCTTATGAAAACCAGTCCCCGGAAGCACCCGAAAAAATGTCAGGAATGCAGGTAAGGACCAAGAAGGAAGAAAAGAGGGGGAAAAAACTGTTTCACACATTCACACAATTTTAGGTGTGTGGAGAGAGAGAGAGAGGATTTTTCCTGGACATTTTTTAAAAAATTTCCCAATTATTTGATCCTCGGGTTCTCTGGGATCTGTCCGATTTGACGATGGTTGGTTGAAACCTGGATAGTATATCGGTAGTCCTTGACTTACCCATTTAGTGGCCATTCATTTAGTGACTGTTTTGAAGTTACAACGGCACTGAATAAAAGCGACTTATGACCCTTTTTCACCATGGCAGCATCCCCATGGCCACGCGATCAAAATTCAGACGCTTGGTGGCTGACTCATATTTATGACGGTTGTAGTCTCCTGGAGTCACGTGATCCCCTTTTGCGACCTCCTGACGAGCAAACCCAGCGGGGAAGCCCGATTAACTAACAACCGTGTCACTGACTTAACAACCACAGTGCTTCGCTTAACAACGGGAGCCAGAAGAGTCGTAAAACAGAGAAAAACTCGTGTCAGGGCTCCGACAAACCACTCCCATTCAAATCATAGCCTCATCTCTCAGAATTAAAAAAAGAAATGATTTATTAGGAGTGACCATGCCGGCGTTACCTGGGTGCAGCCAACTCTAAGATGCATCATTCATTTCACCCTTGACCCCCTGGATGTATATTCTCCAATGGGACACATCCATAGCCAAGAGTCATCAATCGTGCTCTCCAGTAATAATCTTGCGTGCCAACAGCTTCGGCTGCCTAGCAATTATCTGAAGCATTTAGGGAATGCACTGCTTTCCCCCACTCCTTTTCTGCTGGTAACTAAAAAGACCAAAGAAGTATTGTTTGGTTGGCAACTCTCTTAACGTATGTCTCGCTCAGTAGCATAAATTTGGGGCTCAATTGTTGAGGTATTTCCCCCCCCCAAATTTTGATGCTGGATTTTCTAGTGGGGTGTTTTTATGGCGTTCCGCCATCGGATAAGTGCTTTCTGATTTTTGTAGCTGATATTGATGCCTGTGTGTTTGTGTGTCCAAAGCAGTTTTCTACATTGCTGTTGTTCTTATTTTTTAAAGAATGATATGGAAGACGGGCTATTTTAATAAAGAAAAAAAAGAAAAAAAGGGAAGGAACTATAGCTCAGTGAAATATCACATGATTTCCTTGCCAGACACGTTGGAGTCCCCCAGGTTAAAAATATACAGATCGTGGCAGGTCATTAAGCAGGTCACCCTACGACCGTAAATCGTGGCAGGTCATTAAGCAGGTCACCCTACGACCACGCTAGTTTTGATGCCCTTTTTTTTGTGACGATCATTAAGTAAAAGCCATGATACCAAATGGCTGGTTTTGCCAAAGTCAACGCAGCAAATAAAGTCTCGAATTGTGGTCTAGTGATGCAAATTTAAATCCTTAAATGCGGTCAGGTTGCCATTCACCCCAAATTCGATCACGTGACCACAAGAGGGGGTGGGGGTGGGGGTAGAAGACAGGTGTCAGAACTTCAAATCCGGATCGTAAGTAGCTCTGGAGACATGCGTTGCTAAGCAACAGTCGTAAGTCAAGGACTTCCTGGCTAGAAAGACCTTCGTATGCAGGTTTTTTGTGTGTGTTCTGACCTAGGTTTCCCTTAGAAAGCATAAAACACAATCTAGTTCCGGCAAAGCCTCTTCTTATTTCCACAGCTGTGAATTATGTTCATTCCCAGCCTAAAAGGCTTCACAAACAGTCTTTCAGGGGAATGTTATTGCACTTGGAATGCAGCCAGAGAATTCAGGGCCAGACACAGGGCAAGGCCAAACTCGACACAGAATCCAACAGAACTTTGCCAAGCTTGAACCAACCAGACAAAATAATTGCTTCCTGCAAAAGCTCACCTCCCATTCTCTCCTCTTTTACGTCCTATGGGAGGGGCCAATCATCTCTGAGGCGTGGGCCTTACTCCCTGCTTTCTCAATTGCTCTTGTCTTCTGGTAGCCCTGCACATGTGCAGGCTGGGAACCGGTTCCAGAAACTCCCTTGCCTCACTGTTGTCTGAGTCTGACGGCAGCTGACAACTGCCAGCCTGCCCTGGTCTCTGTTGTGGTTCGCTGGCGGCCAGTGCGGCCGCCCGTGGAATCGGACAGTGGGGACGAACGGGGACCAGTCAGGGAGTCTGAAGAGGACTTGGACGAGAGTCCTGCGTCCGATGTAGAGATGGGGCCAAGACCATCTGGGAGTGGGGTGCTGCCTCTGGAGCCTCCGATGTTTGGCAGCAGCGAGGCAGAGGAACAAGGGGAGCCTGTTCCCAGTGCGCATGTGTGCAGAGCTGCTAGAAGGCGAGAGCAGCTGAGACAAAAGGGGCGACTCGGGAGTAAGGCTGGGAGATGATTGCCCCTCCCATAAGGGATAAAAGTCAGGCCAAGGTGACGAAACCTTTGCAGGAAGCAAAAGTCGTTCCATCTATTCCGAGTCATTCTTGAAGCTCTTGGTACTTCGGTTGGTTTTTCTTGTACTTCATTGGTTTCTTTTCTAGTTCATTTGGCAGCACTTCACAGAACTGAAAGGTGGGTGCTTATCTTGGGGAACTGTTTGAGCTTAGTTCCGACTGGGAATGAAAACAATTCCCAGCGTAGCAATAAAAATAAGTCTCATTTTTAAAATAAGTGCATGTGTAATTACGGTTTTGGAAGCTTTGGTCAGGACAGCCCCATCCCTGCCTCCGATGCAGAGCCCTCGTCCGAGCCTTCCTCAGCCTCCAGAACCGGCCCAAGTTCTTCCCCCAACCTCCTTGTTATTGTCTGACTCTGCTGGCAGCTCCATCAACCCCTGAGGGGAGGGCGCACAACATTTTAACGCTTCCTCCTGACGTTTGCAATGAAGCGGCCCCCAAATGTTAACAATCTCCTTGTTCTTTCCTACAAGGCTGTCTGGTCTTCCGGCACAGAATGTATCGCCAAATATAATTTTCATGGCACAGCTGATCAAGATCTCCCCTTCAACAAAGGAGACGTTCTCACCATCATCTCGGTCACCAAGGTAACACTCTTCTTTTTTCCGGCACCGGGCCCAGCCGTACGGACGTCTGCCGCTCGCCACGGCGACGGACGGGCGGATACTGTGAGTGTGCCATAAGGGCACCGCGGATGCCAAATTGGTGCTCGCTCGCTTGCTCGCTGGCTTCCTGTTGTCGGAGCCGGCTCTTAGAGGCCTTGGGGTTTGCATCGGGGGGGCCATGATAAGTGTTGGGGACCTGCCCCCCCCCAAAGGGCCAAGGGGGGCTTCGGATATCATTGGGCCAAAAACTTCACTGTGTCCATTATGGGATAAGGTTGCCATGTATGTATGTAGTAGCATCAGGCTGATACTATCCTGGCTTTGAAACAAACTGTTAAAAGGGACAGTTTGCTCCAATTTACAACCACAAAGTCTGTCTGTCTCTTTCTCTCCTCTCTTTCTCTCTCCTTCTCTCTTTCTCTCCTCTTCTCTCCTCTCTCTTTCTCTCCTCTCTTTCTCTCTCTCTCTTTCCTCTTTCTTTCCTCTCTCTTTCTCTCTTCTTTTTCTCTCTCCTCTCTCTTTTTTTCCTCTTCTCTCTCTCCTCTCTCTTTCTCTCCTCTCTTTTTCTCTCTCTCCTCTCTCCTCTCATCTCTTCCTCTCTCCTCTCTCCTTCTCTCCTCTCTTTTTCTCTCTCTCCTCTCTTTTTCTCTCTCTCCTCTCTCCTTCTCTCCTCCCTCTCTCTCTCTCTCTCTCTTTCCTCTCTCTTTCTCTCCTCCCCCCCTCTGTGTGTGTGCGTGCGTGTGTCTGTGTGTGTATATATGTGTGTGTGTGAGTGTGTATGTGGTATTCGGCTTTGTTCGGGTATTTTCCCACGTCATTGTAGTTGTGCTTTTAAAGTTGTAGCAACGTTTCGGCAGAATCTCATCTGCCATCATCAGGCTTCTGTATAGTGTTCGTCTGTGAATATATATATATATATATATATATATATTTAAAATGCTTGTGTCACCTCCTTCTGTGGCATCTTCCCAGCCAGCTTTCCTCTTTATGCACTACAATTAAAACGGCGATGGCGACAGGAGATATTAAGGAAAGACAAGCTGGCCAGATGCATCCCAAATCAGATTTTTGCCCCAGACTAATGTATTCATAGCTTTTAATGAGTCGCCTTATTGAGTTCATCGCGGAGGAAGAGTAGGATGCTCTTAACCTTTAGCTACCTTGCAAATCTTTCTGGATGGGGCTTCCGGCATCTGGCGCCGCTGGGAAATTAAACATCTAGAGATGTTCCGGGTGATAATCCTGGCTCCTGTTTTTGCCTTTTGATAAATTGCACAGGGGTTGCCACGAATGTTGCATGGATGTCTGTCTTGTAGACACAGCTGGGAGAAGGGTGTGTACCCCGGAATATGTCTTGTGGGGGGAGGGCTGGGTTGGGCCAGAAGACGCATCGTCTAGAAGATCCTTGGCTGGGGACATCGTAGAAGCCAAAGCCAAGTTGAAAAGTGTCCCTCAGTGGCCTCTCTCTCTCTCTCTCTCTCCCGAGAGAAGAAAGCAATTTAATTAACCATGAACATTAATTTAGCCTTCCTTTTCAATGTAAGCTACTGGGTCAAATCCAGTTTTATCATCTCTGTTTTCTGGGGATAACTAAGCAACCTCTGAGGCCCTCGATTGAGAAAATACTCATCGGTGTATCTGGGTTTACCTGTTGTGGTTAGCCGGCAGCAGGTGCAGGCGGCTGAGGAGAGCGAGGACTCAGATGAGGGGCCAGGACCATCAGGGAGTGGACTGCTGCCTTCAGAGATTGTGGGGGCTGGCAGCAGCGATGAGGAGGTTCCCGGGGAGCCTGTGCCAAGTGCGTGTGCGCTCAGGGCTACTTTCAGGAAAGAGCAGCTACAACAGCACGGGCAACTCGGGAGTAAGGCTGCAAGATAATGGCCCCTCCTTCAAGAGGATAAAACCCAGCTGTGAACCGGACATTCTTTGCAGGAAGCAAAAACGTTTTAAAGCTCCAGCCTCGTGGGCATTCCAGTATCTTAAGTTGGTAGTTGAAGATTCTTGTGTTGTAAAATATTTCTTATCTGTTATTCTTGGCAGCCTCGCACAGTTTTGTTAATTAGTTAGTTTACAACAGCCTTTTAACTGAGTGAGACTCAGTTAAAGTAAGACTCATTAAAAAGTTTCTGTTCTCTTTGGTTCGTGTTTGTTGTATTGGACAAGGGTTTGGGTCAGAACATTACCATACACCGGGGAATGCTGGGAGTTGGAAGTCCACATAACTTGAGAAGTTGCCAAGCTTGGGAAAAAAAAACACTGCTTCAATACTTCAGGGAGAGTATTTTTTGAGAAAAGGACTTTATCCTTGGAAGAGAAAAGAGAAAAGCTAGCATTTCTTTCGCCAGTGCTTCTTCGCTCATCTGAAAAATGTGCTCATCATAGTTTTGCAGTATGCTTTTTTGTTGTTCCACAACATTTCCCTTTTCTCTAGGAAGAGAAGGGAACACAATTGAGGCCATAGAGAAATAGGATATTTAATGAAGGGAGATTGATAGTCTCTGGCTTTCTTGAGATCCCATAAAACTCCCGGGAATCTGGGGTTCTTGCCAGTATGGATTTGATTTAAATCAAGTCCATTTAAATCCTAGTAAATTTAAATCACTAGTAAAAAAGGCTTGATTTAAATCAACTCGACCTAAATCACAATTTTTTTAAACAGCAACTGTCATCTCTGTTGTGAAGTTGTGTGAATGCGTGTTATCTCAGCTTGGATTCATTGAATGAGTTTACCAAACATGTAAATCTTGCCGAATATACAGCCTCGTGCTACATAACTAAACTTCCATCTCATGCTGAATCAACTAAATTATGAATGTATCTTAAACAGAAGAAACGATAGATTTTTTTATTCCAACAGCATTTTATTAAAATACATTTGATAAAAACAAAAATCCGATTTAAATAAAAAAAAGTCTGATTTAATTTTTTTTTAAAAATCCCATTTTTAATTTTTTTTTTTTTTTAAATCATCGATTTTTATCCACCCTGGTTCTTGCTAACCATGGTTTCCCTCTTCCAGGACCCCAACTGGTACAAAGCCAAAAACAAGGTGGGACGCGAAGGGATTATCCCAGCCAACTATGTTCAGAAGCGCGAAGGGGTGAAACCTGGAATCAAACTCAGCCTCATGCCGTAAGTAATACCTCTAACCGGGCATTTTACAGCCTCTGCGCCACATCCGGGAGATCAACTGGAAATGAGAAATAAATAAATATAAATATATAAATATATGTGTGTGTGCGTGCGTGCGTGTTTTCTTAAGTTTTCGTGGGTACTTACATGTATGGCATTCAGCTTTGTTCGGGTATTTTCCCACGTCATTGTAGTTGTGCTTTTAAAGTTGTAGCAACGTTTCGGCAGAATCTCATCTGCCATCATCAGGCTTCTGTATTGCGTTTTAAAAGCACAACTATAATGACGTGGGAAAATACCCGAACAAAGCTGAATACCATACATGTAAGTACCTGCGAAAACTTAAGAAATAATATTTATATATATACATATTTACCTCAGAAAACATATATATACATGTATATACATACATATATATATACATATATACGTATATACGTGTGTGTGTATATGTGTGTGTATATATATATATATATGGATCTCTGGTTATTTGAGTTTTTTCCCGCGTAAGATTGGACCAATCTTACGCGGGAGAAAACCCGAATAACCAGAGATCCACATACAAATACCCGCGAGAACCTCAGAAAACATATATGTATGTATGTATGTATGTATATATAAAGCGAAATACCACTCACACATCATCACAAAATCTCCAGAACTGTAAAGCCTACAAACTTAAATTTTGGGACTTATGTTCCTCTTGGCTTCTAGGTGCTCACTAAGAAAGGATTTTTCAAAAAAGAAAAACCCATCAGAGCATTCATATTTGCTATATTATTATTATTATTATTAACACGCTCTGATGCTAAGGAGTTCTACTCCCCCTCCCCACTTGAAAAGAAATCTCTCCCAAATGTAAAACACAAGCAGAGGAGAAGAGTTTCGTTTTTAGTTTCACAGCGGTAATCAGCTTTAGGACAGAACAGTTGAGCTAAGCCACGCTCAGGCTCACATAGCAAATACTGTTTCAGTTTCCAAACAGCCCTCAACTCTCACACACGGACAGGATGCTAGCCAGGTGAATGCCGATGGAGGCTGACAGGCAGAGCCACAATTCCCCCTCCCTTATTTTCCTCCCCCAAAAACTAAGCCCGACCACACATAGTTTCGTAGCGAAGCATGGATATCGAACTAGTGAAATACAAATAAACGTCCACCATGCAAGCCAGACACGTACGGCTTTTATTTTGACTCGTTTTTGCTCACCCCCCGATACAGAGAGAGAAAACATGGGATTTGTTCTGCCAGTCTCTGCCACGGAGGGGGGGGCGCATGGTGGAACTTCTTGCGAAGAAGAAATAAGTTTCTAGCCCTCGTTGAGGCCAGCGCTGGGACGTTCTGACTGTCCTCTCGGTCTCTTTTTTTTCCCCCCGCCTCCTCAGCTGGTTTCACGGGAAGATCACGCGGGAGCAAGCGGAGCGGCTGCTCTACCCTCCGGAGACGGGCCTGTTCCTTGTGCGCGAGAGCACCAACTACCCGGGCGACTACACGCTCTGCGTCAGCTGTGAAGGGAAGGTGGAACATTACCGCATCATCTACTCCTCCAGCAAGCTGAGCATCGACGAAGAGGTCTACTTCGAAAACCTGATGCAACTCGTGGAGGTGAGCCTGGGCCAAGGTTGGCAGGGGGAGCCCCGGGGTGGGGTGCCTCCCCTGGGTCTCCGAATAACAAGAGTTGGAAGGGGCCTTGGAGGTCTTCTAGCTCAACCCCTGCTCAAAGCAGGAAACCGTATACCATTTCAGACCAACCTCTTCTTAAAAACTTCCAAGGTTGGAGCATTTGCAACTTCTTGAGTCAAGTTGTTGTTCCACTGGTTCATTGTTTTTTAACTGTCAGGAAATTTCTCCTTAGTTCTACATTGCTCGATTAGTTTCCCTTCATGGCTGCTTGTTCGGCCTTCAGGGACTGTGGTTCAACTTTTTGGACCTCAGGGACCACCAAACTCATCATTTTAAATCCCGCGGACCAGAGACCCTGGGAAAATCCCCCCAAATGTCTGCAGGAAAATCCCCCCAGCCCGTTTTCCCTACTGATCGATCGTTCTTTATTTGGGATCGCAGGATACCGTCTCCAGCTCCGTTATCGGGGGGAGAGAGAGAAAGACTTTTGACTGCATGCAAGGAAAGCAGCAGAAGCCGCAGAAGTCTTTTCTTTCTCTCTCCCAAACTCCGCCACAAATGAGTCTTTGCCGGCGCGGCCTCTTGGAGCAAGGAGGCCTTGCAGGGTCCCAAAGACTCATTTCTGGCGGAGTTTGGGGGAGAGAAAGACAGACTTTGGCTGCTTTCCTTGCGTGCAGCCAAAAGCAGAAGAAGAAAGAAGCAGCCTGGTGGCCAGGCCAGGCATGTGGGGCGAGTGGGGCAAGTTCTCCCCCCTCTGCCCTTCCCCCCCCTCCCCTCACGACCTCGTGCTGTTCACAATGCAAGCAACACAAGCCTTGTGTTCCCACGGGCCATGTGGGCGGCGCAGCCTTGTGTTCCTGTGCAGCCTGGATGAATTGCTTTGGGGGGGACGGGACATTTCTCTGCGGACCACAACATTTTCTCACGGCCCGCCAGTGGTCCCTGGCCCACCGGTTGGTGACCGCTGCTTTGGAGAATAGAATAGCAGAGTAACAGAGCTGGAGATCTTCTTAGTCAACCCTCCTGGTCGAGCAGGACATTCTATTACACTGGCTGTCCAGTCTCTTCTTAAAACCCTCCAATGCTTTCCACAGCTCCCCAAGGCGAGCCCTTTCCACGGATGAATTGTTCTCACGGTCAAGAAACTTCTCCTTCAATGTCTCCTCTCCTTGGTTAGTTTCTTGTCCTGCCTTCAGGGGCTTTGGAGAATAGCTTGACTCCCTCTTCTTTGGGGCAGCCCCTGAGATATTGGAAGACTGCTATCCTATCATCCCTCGGTTGTGGGGGGAAAAAAAATCTCGAATGAGCTAGCGTGCCGGCTTCAAAACCCACCCACCCACCTGAACCTGGTGGCCTGACCCCGCCACCCCCACCCAATGCGGTGACAGCAAGGGCAGGTTAAGTGTGCTCTGCGTTTCCTGCCTCTCACATCCCTACAAGAGACAGGAAGACACGTCTGAGCGATACCAAAAGCGCCTTCTTACCAAAGCAGCCGCAGCAGCAATGGAGCTGCGGCTCTGCTCTGCTGGGGCAGCGCCTGGCGGAAGCGTCTCTCGGTGGTGACGGACAACCAAGCAGTTAATTCCCTTGGGTGGGTGGGTGGGAGGGAGGGTGGAGTTAACGCTTGTAAAACGTTGGGCGAGGAAGTTCCCCATTCTTTCCGTAGCCTCCAAGCAGAACCTGGTGGGGCAGCCTTGCCCGGCGTCCTACTGCCCCCTGGTGGAGCCGCGGGGTCGTTGGGACTTTTGGGGGACTTGGCAGCCCGGAAGATGCCCTGCGGCCTGGGACCATCTTTCTTTCAAAGGGGGGCATAGCAGATGCACGAATTGGGGCCCTTAGAGGGAGCAGAGAGACCCAGAAGCAGTTTCACCCTGACTGGAACGTGTGTACGTGGTTGGGTTTGTGTGAGCGTGTGTCCTTTTTAAAATAGCATAGCACAGCACATCACAGCACAAAACAGAACAGAACAGAACAGAATAGAATAGAAGAGAATAGCATAGAATGAGAAAGAACAGAATAGAGTCACTGTGAATTAGTATTACTAATACTGTGAATAATTGTCAAGTATTAACTGTATGTATTGCATTTATTGTACTGTCAAGAAAACAGTGTTGAAAGGTATTGACGCATCTTCTATTATAGACATTTTTGTAAACTTTTTTAATATTTTGAAATTTTTGTAAACTTTCTAATATTTGAATTTCAATAAAGAGTTTTAAAAAAGAGAACGAACGGAATAGAATGGAATGAGAAAGAATAGAATGGAATGAGAAAGAATAGAATAAAAGAATAGACTAGAATGAGAAAAAAATAGAATAGAATGAGAAAGAACATAATAGAATAGAAAATAAGAGAATAGAATAGAATATAGAAAATAAGTGAATGGAATGGAATAGAATAGAATAGAATAGAAAATAGAATAGAAAATAGAATGGAATGGAATAGAATTCTTTACTGGCCAATTTGGTTGGACGAACAAGGAATTTGTCTTTGGTGTATAAATTCTTGGTGTACATAAAGAAAAAAGAAAATACATTCATCAAGAATCATAAGATACAACACTTGTACCATGAGATACTACGAAGTACCATTTGCTTCCAAGAGTTATGGGTGCCCCAACACTGGAAGTTTTTTTTATTTTTATTTTATAAATTTTATTGATTTCCTGTTCATTACATTCCCTTGTGCTGAATAAACATCCTGTTGTCTGGGTATTTCATTTGCTTTACAATGCAAATGCCATTCTTATTCTCCACCCCCCCTTTTTTCCCCCAGCCACTGGTAGAATAAGTTCCAAGTTTGATAATATTCTGTGTCTTCTTTCTGTTTGATTTTCAATGTCAGCCTGTCCATTTCTGCACAGTCTAAATATCTTCTTCATTATCTCTGGAAGTTTTGAAGAAGAGATTGGACAACCATCTGTCCGAAATGGTAATTAAGATTTCCTGCCTGAGCAGGGGGTTAGACTAGAAGACCTCCAAGGTCCCTTCCAACTCTGGTATTCTCTAATTCCCAAATCAATTAATCCGTGGAATAACTTCCCTCCAGAAATTGTTGGTGCTTCAACACTGGAGGTTTCAAAGAAGAGACTGGGCAGCCGTTGGTCCGAAATGGTAAAGGTTTTTCCTGCCTGATCGGGAGATTGGACTAGTCCAATGTTTGCCAACTGGTGGGCCGGGAACCACTGGTGGCCCACGAGAAAATGTTAGTGGTCTGCAGAGAAATGTCACTCCCAAAACATCCCCCAAAGCAATGAATCCAGGCTGCACGGGAACACACAAGGCCCACGGGAACACAAGGCTTGTGTCATTTGCATTGCAAACAACACGAGGTAGTGGGAAATGGCAGCGGGGAGGGGGACTTGCCCCTCTCATCCCATGTGCCTCACGTGCCTGGCCACCGGGCTGCTTCTTTCCGCTTCTCTCTTCTTCTGCTTTTGGCTGCACGCAAGGAAAGCAGCCAAAGTCTTTCTTTCTCTCCCCCAAACTCCGCCAGAAATGAGTCTTTGGGGCCCTGCAAGGCCTCCTTGCTCCAAGAGGCTGTTGCGGCATGACAAGTGTCACAAAGGCTCATTCCTGGCGGAGCTTGGGGGAGAGAAAGAAAGACTTCTGCAGCTTCTGCTGCTTTCCTTGCATGAAGCCAAAAGTCTCTCCTTTCTCCTGAGAACAGAGATGGAGACGGTATCCTGCGATCCCAAATAAAGAACGATCGATCGGTAGGAAAAACGGGGTGGGGGATTTTCCCGCAGACTTTTTTGGGGGGATTTTCCCAGGGTCTCTGGTCCGCGGGATTTAAAATGATGAGTTTGGTGGTCCCTGAGGTCCAAAAGGTTGGCCACCCCTGGGCTAGATGACCTCCAAAGTCCCTCCCAACTCTGGTAGTCTATTCCATTCTATTTTATTCTAAAAGGTCATCACTACAGCAGTGGCATTGATAGCATCCGCCCGTCTTCTACCTATGACTTATTTATTGGCGTATAATATCCACGCGCGTACAATACTCCGTCCCTGGGAGTCGGTCGTTTTATGGTAGTCAAGATGGAAGGGAAGCCACAGCTAGGACCAAAATCCCAAGCAGTTAGTCCCACACACATGTTCAGCGAACCGGTTCTTCAACATAATCCACAATCCATAAATGTTCC